GAAAAGTCCATTCTCCCTTATTTCCATTTTTTCCACACACTTCTAGAAGCCTCCCGGTACAAGTGCCACTCAATGCTAGTTCATTCTGCATGAAGCACGTTATGTTAAGCTTTACTCCTTTTACATAAGGGCTCTCCTTCATTGGCCCCCTTGTTGGTTAGTAAAGGACCCTAACGTGGCCTGTTTGGGAGCTGCGAACGAAGAATTTATTCAGTGCTTATTTGAACTTACTCCATGCCTGGCAGGGTGCCGGGAATTATCTCACTGAACCCTCCTGACACAACAAACCAAAACCACACTCGCTGTCACTGAGTCGATGCTGACTCAGTGACCCTGCTGGACAGAGTAGAACTGCCCCTGCGTGTTTCTGAGACGGTGTGACTCTTTACAGGAGGAGAAAGCCCCGTCTTTCTCCCATAGAGCAGGCTGGCTGGTGGTTTTAAACCCCTGACCTTGCGGTCAGCAAACTCACATGCAAGCACTATGCCACCAATCGATATGGCTACTATCTTCACTTGACCAGGAAGCAGCAGAGTGGAGCTTTGGAGGGACTAAATAACTGCTTAAAGTCAGCTGGGTAATAAACAGAGGAGATGGGGACTGCACCCAAGCAGGCTGACTTTGACGGCTGTGCTTTACAAACTTCCCTCGTCCAAACCTGAAGCAGAGATGATCTGCCAAAGGACCAACGAAGAGACCAGAAGGAGAGGTGGAAAGGGGGCCTCGGCGCCATTCCTGGAGAGGAAGGGAGCTAGACTGAGGGAGAGCAGCCTCTAAGGACTTGGGAGCTTTTGAAACCAAAAAAAGTAGGAAAGAAGAGCAGCAAAACATACATTAACAACAATAATAATGACTTCCATTCACTGAGCAAGAAGCCCTGGTGGCAATGTGGGTGAGACATTGAGCAGTTAGCCTCAAGGCTGGCAGTTCAAACCCACGAGCTACTCCAAGGAAGTGGCCGTCTGCTCCCATAAAGATGGACAGTCTCAGAAACCCTACAAAGGGCTAAGATGAGTCAGAATCAACTTGAACTCGGTGAATTCTTCATTGAGCAGCTGACACAGCATGGGAGGGAGGTGTCTGAAAGTTAAATTAGGAGCTAGAATTCACGGGCGTTACACTGCTGAGTCAGAATGTGGACCTCGGACTGAATGCCCAGCCCTGCACCATGCCAGTCACAGAACGGGCGGGAGCGGCTCTCTCTGTGCTGGCTGAGGGGTCTGCTGAGGGGGCAGCTAGAGAAGGTCCTGCAAACCTTACACATGTGCACACCCTCCCAGAGCCAGCGCCAACTTCACCCGACTCCCACTTACAGTGTGCACATCGCATGAGACGAGATGTATGACAGCAAGAAAGCTGGACCAAGGAAGCCCAAGTGACGAGCAAACTATTTTGGGAAAAGGAGAGAAAGGAAACGTTTCCTATTTCAGAGCTGGCTGGGAAGGTCAGGCGGCAGGGGCAGTGAGTCACTGTGCGTCTAGTAACCCCTCCTAAACCATGTGGAACGTTACCACGGTGCTGACCAGGGGGTGCAGGGAAAAGCCCACTGATCAGCCCAATGGGACACAGGCCAGCCAGCTCCCTCGGCGGGCACCGGGCAAGCTAAAGACCTCAGCTCACCATTTGCTCCGATTTCTCTGCTTTGTCTTTGATATCTTTGATCTTGCCGAAGAGTTGCTGGATGGCTTTCTGGGCCTCCTCAAGTGCCTACAGTCGGAGAGAGAAGGGAGAATGAAGAGCCGATGCAAACACAGCATCCGCCGTTAGTCATTCCACAATAACCAACCCCAGCCTCCAGAAAAAGGTGTCACAGAGCTCTCCTGATTTGCTGAACTTACCACGACAATGGCTACTGTATGGAGTAGACATAGCTTCAAGGCCCTCAAGGGCCGGCATCCGGAGGCAGGCAAACACACCGGGCTCTAACTAACTTGCACGATAATGTTTCCATTTGAAAATGAACCTCCCTCCCTCTAGCACAGAGACGTTACTGATGACAAATAAACACGCATAGGCGTGCGTGCGCGCTTTGACTTCCCAGGTCTGTAGAGGGCCAAGAGGGAGGGGCTCTACTTTCGAGGTGGGGAAGCACTGAATTTTAGAAGACCCAGATGACTGCGCTGTTCAGAAACTTCCTGGGTCCTGCAAAATTGTGGCAAACCTTCGAGAGATTTCTAGTACTCCACTTGATAACCAATAAAAGGTCGCTTGAAAAGGACACTTAAAGCTAATGGCCAGCCAGATGTTCCCGGTCCTAAAAAGCTGCGAAGATGCACATTGGGAGTATTAGAACCCACGGCAGTTTGTGAGCAGGAGCAGGAGCCAGGGGGAATTGGGAGGGCACCACAGCCACACAGGCGAACACACAATGAAAGAAAGATGCCGCTTGCTCCCAAAGGGCTCGTACTTCTTTCCTCCAAAGCACTTCCTTTACCTGGGGCTTAGGAAGGGCTCACCCTAAGTGAAGAACACCCTGGTGGTGCAGCGGTTAAGTGTTTGGCGAACTGGAAGGTCAGCGGTTTGAGCCCACCAACCACTCCACAGAAGATGGAGCCGTCTACTCCCATAAAGATTTACAGTCTCAGAAATCCTATAGGGGCAGCGCGACTCTACCCTACAGGGGCACTAAGAATCGGAACTAACTCAACTGTCCAGTTGCTGTCATGCTGACGCAGAGCCCTGGTACCCCAGTAAGCGGGGTAGAAGCGTGCTCCGAAGGGTTTCCTACGGCTGCTGTCCCAGACACACTGCACTAGCACTTTCTTTGGAGGCGCCTCTGTGTGGACTAAAACCTCCCACTTTTCGCTTAGCAGCCTTTGTGCCAACCATTTGCACCACACAGGCACCCCAGGCCCTTCATAAATGTAATACTGAGGCCAACGTACCCCTCAAGGTGCGTGTGGCCATCTTTACCTCCATTGGGGGGGAGGGGCAGGGGGAGACAAGAAGCCTCCCCAGGAAGAATGCTGTCAGAGAAAGAGGAATGGCCAAAGTCTGACAGGCTTATCTAGACTCTGGCATTCAGCTGTACCTGACTGTTGGAGAGCTCAGGTTGCCTTTTTACTTCAAACCACATTTTTTGTAATTCCCCTAAAGCAAACTTAAGTGGACTTCCTCTGCGGGAAACCCTCTCCTTGCTGGAGGCAGGGATTGCTCCCGTCCCTCTAGAATTCCCCTGGCTGCTCACGTCTGTGGGTACTGAGACTCCTTTCTCATTAAGAGATTCTTGCCACGGGGAGTGGAGGCTGGACATCAAGAGTCTCACTTTCAATATGTTAAGGGTACACAGCCTATGTGATACCAAGCAGAGAAACCAAACTGGCCATGGGAGTCTGAAGCTTAGAAAAGAGGTGAGAACTAGAGATGTAAATGGAGAAGCCATCAGCTTATTGGTGATCTTTCAGGGAGGGCAGGGAGACCTTGTCAGGATGCGAGTGCAAGCAGAGAACAGGACTGAGCCTTCAGCGACTCTGATGTCCACATTCGAAAAGACAAGGAGGGTGAGCAAAGATGCGGGAGGAACACTACGGTGGCGGTGGCGTGAGAGGGCAGCCAGGGCTGTGGTGTCACGAAAGCCAAACACAGGGTGTGGAGGAGGGGAGGATCGCCACCCTGGCCTCTCACGCGGGAAATTCGCGTCAGAGTCGGTCAGCGCACCAGCAGTGAACTTGGCGATGGGAAGCCACCCCGACACAAGCAGCTCCAGCGGAGCCAAGGGATGGACATGCACAGTGCTGGGGCACTGATGTGGAGACGGCGAGTGTGGGGCAGGGATCCAAGCACCAGCCCACAGGCCAATCCCATCTGCCACCTGTGCTTGTAAAGAACCGTCTTCTTGGAACACAGCCCCACGCTCACTGATTTTACAAACCATCCGTAGCTGTTGTCACCATTCCAGGGCAGAGATGAGTAGTGGCAACAGAACTTATCGGCTGAAAGTCTAGAATATTTACTATCGGCCCCTAACAAAAAGTGTTCCAGTCTAGGGTCTAGGCTGTCCTTCTATGAGACGAGAAATGATAATGAGGATCATGCGTATATTTTTAATGAGGCAATAAGTGAGGTCAAGGAAGGGATCTTTAAAGAAGAGAGCTGCGCGGGCTTGTCTGCTGTGGAAATGATGGGAAGAAAGGGAGAAGATAATTTGAAAGAGGGAGAGGAGGCAATGGTAGAATTACAGAAGAAGGCTTCGTCTTCCTGCATTGTTCAGTGTGCATTAGCCCTCGAACAAGCTGGTGTCCTTTCACCCTAACTCTTCCACCTGTGTGTGGAGACACTAACCCAAGACGCTGACTCTGCAGAGGAACGTGGCGGGGGACTGGAGGAGGCTCAGGAAGCACCTGTGGGGTGCAGACGGCCCAGCCTGTGCGGGAGAGCTTGAAGACTGCGCCCTCCCGCATGGCACGAGAGCGCCGGTAAAGAAGGCACAAAGGGCGAGGACTGGACCATAAGCAACAGCGTGGTCAATGAGAAAACATGAAAGCGCTCCAGGATTTCGTTTACCTGGATTCCCAATCAACCCACGAAGCGTCAAACAATCAAGAAAGCCAGCAAAGTATTCCCACCGGGCAGCAGATGTGCTGCACAAGACCTCTTGACAGGGAGAAAAAGCAAAGACGCAGCCACCTGGTCCAAGCCATGTGTCTACCTTCAGTCACCTCGTAGGTACCTGTGTGGAAGGTGGGCACTGAACAAAGACTGAGTTAGAATATGAATTCATAATTTGAATTAGGGTGTTGGTAAAAATACTGACTATACCATGGACTATCAGAAGCATAAACAAATCTGTCTTGAAAGAATTCTTAGCCAGGTCCTTAGAAGGAAGGATAAGGAAACTTAATTATGTCAAGGTTTTGTTTGCATTTTAATAGTTTGACTGGTATATATACTTCACAAAGCATACAGCTTCACCATTCAACCATATTTAAAAAGATTTATGCAATCACCACCACAATCAATTCAGAATCTTTTCTTCCTGTGCCATTGTTGTCAGCGCCCCATTTCTCCCCACACATTAAGTACTCTGAACACGTGACCAGGAGATACCAATCTCTAAAGGACATCATGCTTGGTAAAGCAGGAGGTCAGTGCACACACGCACACACAAGGAAGACCCTCGACAAGGTAGATTGACACAATTCAACAATCATGCAAATAGAGCAAAGACAGTGAGGATGGCGCAGGGCCAGGTAGTGTTGCCTTTCATTGTACATAAATAAGATCACCAAGAAGCAGAGCTGCCCTGATGGCACCTAGCAACAACAGGGCTTTTACGTATCCTGTAGAAAGTGGATCAAGGACATGGGTGGCATTCCTGCAGCTCCTACAACAAAGGCAATCCATCTGTTCTGGTTCTGCCACTGGGTGACTGCTATCTCAATACAATGATTAATAGACTTCTTGCTCTTAAAAGGTGATAGACCATATAGTGACCTATAGCATCCTAACAAAGCCAGTGCGTAAGTGGAACTCAACAAATACTTGCCAGCTAGTTAAAACAGTCACAGGCCCTTTTCCGAAGAGCAGCAGTGTTACGATTCCTGTTCGCAAGGAGGCGTGTGGACACCCGTGGTTTTGCTGACTTCGGGAGCAATGATAAGACAGTGGCTCAAAATCCCAGCACCACACTTTATGTACCAGAGTTCTGTTCGGCAAATATGGAGCCAAGACATTGCAAAGGGTCAATAATGTCTAAACCCACTGGAACCTCCTAAAAATGCCTGGCCATGAGGTAAAACGGGGCCACAGAGGTATCTGCCAGCCACTGACAGATATCACTGGCAAGGATGAACCCTCTTGGGCACAACATATATGGATCTGTGATACTGCAGATCAATGTAGTGATGCTGATGGGATCATGTTCTTGTTAGCTGTGATCGAGTGAGCTCCAACTCATAGGGTCCTTATTTCCAACAGAACAGAACAGTGTTCCGTCCTGCACCAGCTCCAAGATCTGTGATATGCCTTGAGCCCACCATTTAAGACTACTGTATCACTCTATGTCATTAAATCCACCCTCTGGTAGCTAAGTACTCCTAAATATATGGTCTCCAGCTAAGGCAGGCGAGAAGGGCCAATTGTATACTCAGACTGAAGGTGGAAAAAAAAAAGTCGCACAATCCTTTCTCAGAGAACACGTCTCTATCCCAGTACCTACACCGACCAGGGCTATCTGTGCTGAAGTACCGCTTTTTTTCTTCCAGCAACCAAATAAGACTCATGCCATCTTATATTCCACGGTCTTAAAGACAGACACACCATCTGCTAAGTGTTAGAAGTTTTTCCCCCACCCAGCCTGGAACATGTTTGCTTGTTATGAAAATGTAAGAAAGCTGAGGAAATTTCATCTAATTCACTTTTCCAGAGTCGCAGAGATTCTTCTGAAGCCTTTTCTGCGGCAGGCAAGCCTATTCTTGGCACACTCGGATACCCGACACCTAACCTCCAACAATCAGCTCAGCAGAAGAGGGGCTTTCGGGAACAATGGACTCACAGCGACCACATGCAAAAGGTGACCGTTTCCTTGGTTTAGGAAACTACTAAAATATACTTGTGAGCTGACTAATCCAAAAATGAACTGAGAGAAAAGTCCTCGCACTGTTCTTAGACATGCTTGAAAAGCAAATGTGTCCACTTTCCCCTTCCAAGCGGTATGTGGATTGAAAACTGAATGAATTGCCCCCAAATGGCAGCTTTCTGTCTCCCCA